GTCCGGTTCCCGAGGGATACGTAACTTTTTGTAATTCATATAGTTTATATGTTTTCTAATACTACGCGGACGAAGTCACGGGCAACAGCTCATATACTATAAATGACCCACATCTATATGTACACATGCAATAAAATTAGTGTGTCTGTTTGTAATATTAAAAGTAAAACTCCAGATTTCGAGAAGATGCTATTTGCTTTGCTGATAACGAAAATTGCATTTTTTTGTCTATGTGTCCGCAAGCCGCGTTTGTTCCGGGTAACCTCCGAAACGGCTGGACCGATTTTGACCGGATTTGAAGGGTAGTTGACATAGGCTATATTATAGGCAACTTTTTTATTTTAATTCTTAATGTGAAGTCGCGGGCAACAGCTAGTATACAATGTCTATATTCTATACTATACTATATATCTATACTATTATAATAAAGCGTTAACAAACACTTCTTTGTTGCCTAAGATGTCAGTAATTACAGCAAATTTTTAGATACTTCTTTTTTTAATAAAAAGCCCTACACTTACGTCTCGCTTTAGGCTATATATTTTCATTAAACTTAGAGGGTAAATATTTTGGATAAAAACCCTAATGGGAAACAGACCAAAAGTTGCTGCCAACATCAAGGAAACGAGATTGCCAAGTTTTGTCATGTTATTTGCTGTTGATAATTTAACAGATGTAAATAATAAAGTAACATTTTCATAATTTCATGCGAGAAGCCGCACGGAATAGCTAGTCTCTGATAAAACAACTTAAGAAGTAACAGATTTTGATAAATTTAAATTGAATAAACACTGGTGTAGTACTATTTTAGAAAATAAGTCTTCAAAACAATACCATATTGTTAGAAAAAACTTACATTTGTTCTTATTGGTTCGTTAGTATCTTGTAGATTTAACCTTTTACGTATTCAATATCATAATCATAGAACAATATTGAAATAAAAAAGAAATCTGTAAAAAACATTTAATGGCAACTTTTCTTTTTAAAAATTACATCACAGATATAAAACTATATTACATTTACAAAATAATATTAAGATTAACGGAGGCGAACACCTTTGACTAAACTATCGTACAACTGTTGTGTCGATTTAAAGCCAATTCAACTGTTTAGTTGCACGACTAAATATGTACCAAAAAGCTCATAGAAATCAAAGCGCGACTAAACAATTGTGCGATTGCTTAGTCAATGATGTGAACGCTGTAAGACAACCTCTAAAAT